ATGCAGAAGATTTCGTAAAGAGAATGACAGAAACAAGGAAGAGAGCAGAAGAATCGCTACAAAAGGCAGCTGAACAGATGAAGAAGCAGTACGATAAGAAGAAAAGAGAAGCAGTGGAATATAGAGTAGGAGATAAGGTGTACGTAGAAGCGACCAATATCTCAACAGATCGACCAGCCAAGAAACTGGACGATAAGAGACACGGTCCGTTTGAAATACTGGAAAAAGTAGGCAAATCAGCCTATAGATTAGCGCTACCACCGACATGGCGGCCTATTCATCCGGTTTTCAATGAGATAAAACTCACACCGTACAAAGAACCACAGTTCCCTTCCCAACAGAAACCTAAACCAATACCGCCGGTAATAATAGACGGACAAGAAGAATACGAAGTCGAAGAAGTTCTAGACTCACGTCTAAAACAAGGGAAATTGGAATACTTAGTACATTGGAAGAACTATCCAAAAGAGGAACGCACGTGGGAACCCGAACAACACCTAAACAACTCACCCGACAAAGTAAAAACATTCCACGATAACAACCCTAGTGCACCCCGACGGATCCGATTTCAATTACATTTCCAACCCTTCGAAAACTTCACAACGACTAGAGTCCGAAAACAATTGTTTAATTGGGAAAATGGAAAGATGGACCCCTACTTTCGAGACGAAAGTCCTAAGGAGGGGGTAATGTCACGACTTGAACCAGAAGCGCTGGTCTAAGCGCTAGTTTCCTTTTTCATTTTTCTTTGATATCTAAATCACATGACAGATAAGATATGTTAAGCTGCTGCTTTAGCGCGGATACATAACACGTAGTTATACCAGATCACGTGACCATCACGTGACGTAAGTCTAGAACCATTACAAAGAACATCAGTCAGCGCCTCATGGCTGCTGCATGTTAGCTCAGTCAGCGCCTCATGGCTGACTTTCAGAAACATATATATAGTAGACCATCATGTACATACTTTCCTCAGTTGTTGATTAATTCTCAATCGCTATCTTGTAATGCTACTTGTTTGATTTGAGCCTTCATCCCTCCGTTAACTCGGTATAGGGGATAAGGGTTTTACACCATGGACCGTGTCGATATCCATAGGAACGCCCCGTCCTGGTTGCGACCAAAATGGTTGGAACCCGTGAGAGTGGTTTTTATGTTGGTTTGATGACCCAGGGCTCCTCTGGGAATAGTTGTTTTTGGTGGTGGACCCGCCACCTTGGTGCATTTTGTAGAGCTCTATGGCCCTACCTATTTTTTGTACCTCCTCCGCTGCTTGGGAGAGGTTGTCACTCCTCATATCCTGCAGATAGAGCTGTTCTGCAATGTGGGGTTCACATTGCGTTCCAGCAGTTCCACTGCATGTTCATTACCTAAGCCCCCTTGGATGGAGAGAGCCAGGAACCGGGTCACAAAATCATCTATCCTCATGTTGCCTTGCTTGAAGGAACGGATTTGCTGACGCGCCCAGTCATGCTCAGCTTGTGGTTTGAAATATTTTTCAATCTCCACTTTGAGATTGTCCCAGGTGGGCCACACTCCTGCATTCTATCTTGGGCGTATTGACCCGCCACAGGTCCTTTTAGTTAAGATAGCACTGCTGTTGCTACCTCAAAGTCGTCGGCAAACACATCCCAATTTGCCTTGACCCAAATCTGGAGTTTGATCCACCACTCGGTGAATTGCGCTCTGTCTCCTTCGAAGGCGCCAGGGTCAGCGACAACTTCGACTTTCTTGTTGAACCTTTTCTCAACCGAGGGGGTTGCTGCAGTGGGGTTCGCCTGCAGCTCGGTGAGTTGCGTGGTCAACGCCAAAATCTGTGCACGCATGTTGTGCAACAGAGTGTTCACGTCAGGTTGGCTTTGCAACAACATATCGACTTGTTCTCTTTGTAAAAGTAAAAAAAGGTAACTGGGGGTCCCCGCTTGCTATCTGTGGATCTACCTCTTCCCAGCTAAGTATCGGATCTCAATCTCCGACTACCCACACTATAGTATTTGAAATGTATGTAAAAAGTATTCGTAGTAAACCCTGGTCCGAACAGTTGTCAGGGGGTGGCCCGCTTGTTAAGCTGTCAGCCCTTTTCCAGACTGGCGGAGGCAAATGCCCGGCCTGGTCAGAGGTATTTGAAGAAGAATCTTTGTATTCTAAAACTAATCAACAGTGGTTCCACACCAACTGCTAAGCTAAGGTACTCCCCTTAACACTGGGGGCCACGTATCAAGAAAACGTGATTTGTCCTTTCTCCCGGAGCACTATGGGGCCGTTGCGAAGAGCGCGCCCTTCTGCTATATGGGATATCCCTAAATAATAACACTATCCCCTTAACCCTGGGGTCCGGGTTTGCACAATGTGCGAGAGAGTAAAAAGAGCAAGTCCTAATGTAACAACCAAGAGTTTGTTACTCTGGCGCACAACTAGAACCAACTATAGAGATGATGATGAGGGAGTGGTTACCCTTTAGGCTTCAACAAGTTAGTTGTGAGGATACAACAGGAGGACTCGCTGAGGAGTCTCCTTGATCTATTGGGGTATATATACTACTACAGGTTTGTACATATGTACTATACAGTTGATGAAGGCAGTGGCTGATGATGTCAGAGGGCGCAGCCCGTGTGACCAGCTCCCCTGCATGAGAGACTTGTATCTAAGATAAAAAGAAAGGCAGTGCAGCACGAGAAAGTGGAGTTTGAACAAAAGGAAAAGTGCCGCATGGCACGGAGTGGGAAAACTACAGTAAAAGGTTAAAGAGGAGAATGAAAATTAAAGGTCCGAAAATGTGTTATTGTAACACTCCATTTTGAGTTGAAGGACATAGTGATCATTCTTTCAGCCCATACCCAAACAAAAGTTGCTTTCATCTGGGAGACTGGTATCGGAATTATAGTGTTCAGAAGTCGCAGGAATCTTTCAGGCAGCTCATTGATATCATTGGAAACCCATCCTTTTGTCCTGAAGACGTTCAAAATGTAAAGTGGAGCAAAATTAACAAGGACTTGGGCCTCGATAATCTCAATGGTGAATGGCTGGATCAGGATGCAGGCTGGCAAAAAACACCTGTAACCATTTCAGTTCCATTTTATAGCAGATCAGCGGACCCTGGGACCCATGGTTATCATGTTACTGATTTGTTCCATTGTTCACTCATTCAGATCCTTCTTGATAAGCTCGCAAACCCTCGTGATGACCAGCTTTTTTATTATGAGCCATACAAACTGTTCTGGGTTCCAAGTGATCAATTGCATGAAGCTTGAGTCCACGGCAAGGCTTATACTTCAGATGCATTTCTGAAAGCTTATCATGAACTTCAAGAATCCCCACCAGAGCCCAGGTGCAACCTTCAACGTGTGGTGGCTGGTTTCATGTTTTCGTCAGATTCCAACTTACTTCCTTTGGCAATGCAAAACTTTGGCTGCTTTATGTTTATTTTGCCAATGAATTCAAGTATCGTCGCGCCAAACCATCCTGTCACTTGTGCAACCAGACGGCCTATTTTCAATCTGTGAGTGCTGTCTCTATTGTAGCTCATTCACACTGTTTGACTTGTTTTTATTGATTTATAGCTCCCAGACAGCTTCAAAGATTTTGCAAAGACTCACACCGGCAATAGCAAGCTTACTAGCGCCTTCATGACACATTGTCAGTGCAAGTATTTTCATGCACAATGGTGTATTCTACTTGATGATGAATTCCTACATGTGTATCAGCATGGTGTTGTTATCAAGTGTTGTGATGGCATTGATTGTCAGTTTTATCCCTGCATCCTAACATATATGGCAGATTACCCTAGAAAGTAGGTCCACTGTGTTCTGTGCAACAATCTTGCTCATTTTATGTAGGATACTAATAGTGAGTATAAAAAACCTTGGAAACTGTCCCTGTCCTCGGTGTGTAACACCTATGACTTTGGTTCCCAATGTTGGACAAGACACCAATATGCTGAATTGAGTCGTCAAAATCCACATTGACAATGCTGAACAGCAGAAGAAGGTTGCAGTTGCTTGTGATTCAATCTACAAGAAGAATTATGCTGTGAACAGCAACAAAGTTAATGGATTCCTGATGGCCGAATCCTTAGTTCCAACTTTGGTGCGTAGTAGTGGTGTCTGAACACACAACACTCAAATATTGAGCTTGCTACTCTGCACGGCTCATTGGCACGGTTTAGCTAAACTACACATGCATACTGACAATACTCTGAAAATACTAGATGCAGTAACTAAAAATCTAGGTGATAAATTGCGATAATTTGCTGCAAATACTTGCTCTGCCTTCTGTACTAGGGAACTCCGGGGCAAAGCCGATGCACAAAGGCGCCGTCAAATCCAGCAAGGCACTGACATTCAGTCAACATCATCAGGAGACGCTTAAAAACCCAAGTCATTCAACCTACAAACCTATAAACTCCACCTAATTTGTGCAGGATAATCCCCAAGCGCATGCTTTGGCACTATAGACTCCCTAGCACGTAAGTTCACCTAACCATATCTTGCTTCATTTGTAATAACCGGTGCCCAGGGTGACTTAGAGCACCAGACAGGGAAGTCTAGATTCAAAAGAACCAGCAAGAAAACCTACACTGAACAGCTTACTCACATTGAGCGTTGGGAGGCCCGTATACGTCTTATGCGCCAGAAGCTTGGCATGTCTTCTGAGGATCATGCTGTTGCTGCTGGTCAGGAGGCCAGCACTCTTGATGACCATCATCACATAGGGAAGTCTCAAAACTCACCTTTGCACATCACATTCTTCTCCAAAATGTACTCCCACGATCCAGCTTGCACGGTAAGAGACAAATCAATACTGTACAATTCCAGTATCAATCTGATTTGCTATAGGATTTTGTACCAAACCTCAAGATTCACTTACTTCACTGTATGCAATTGACTCTTCTCGCTCCTATTGTTTCCGAGCGTCACCTTAATGATCCCTCACCAAACCAGCAACCTTCCATTCAAGTCATATTAAAAAATGACAGAATATATATTCACAACATCTTTTGCATCAACTACACAACATACAATATCCGCCAAGCACAAGATGTTGTTAACCCACGCACGGACCATTGCAATATCATGTTACTAGCTCCTCTGGATGGATTTGACACCAATCTGCGACGCCCCTCCCACCCATTCTATTATGCTCGTGTCTTGGGCATTTACCACACAAATGTTGTATGTACTGGTCAAGAAGTCACAACTTATTACACGTGTAAGATGGAATTTCTATTCGTGAGGTGGTACAAATTGTGCGGTCCTTTGAACAGAGAAACAGACTCAGGCTGGTACAAACTCAACATGCTACATTTTGTTCCCATAGCTGAAGATGATGCTTTTGGCTTTGTCAACCCAGCCGATGTTCTGCCGAGCTGCCACCTAGTACCAGCATTTCACGAAGGGAAATTACATCCTGATGGCATTGGGATGTCCAACTTTGCTCAGGATGCACAAGATTGGAAAAAGTACTATGTTAATTGGTTAGTCCCAGCTATGTTTAACGCTAAAGAAACCTACCAATATGTTTCTTACAGGTTTGTAGATCAAGACATGATGATGCAGTATCATTGGGGCTTGGGGATCGGCCACACATATGCCTGCGGTGAAGCATCTGAAGGCATCAACAGACTTGGGGTCTTTGCCACAAACGACTTCATGGTGTTCCTACCCAGCAGCAGTATGATGTGATAACTAGAACTGTAAAGTAAAAGACTCTCAGTCTTTCTGGTAAATGACTGATATATTAATCAAATGTACCTGTAAAGTAAAATACTCTAAAGGAATGTGTAAGTATGAGTTTTAACTGCAATAATAGTGTTTACTGTACCTCAGTCTTTCTGGTAAATGACTAAGGTGTCTAAGGTAGGATGAGTGCGCTTTTCTGTATCCTAATTAGGATATATAATATGCCAACACACCCCCTCAAACCGAACTCACTCCCATCATCTTGACAAAATATTCTAGCTTGGGTCGAGCCAGTGGTTTTGTGAGGCAATCTGCAGGCATTTCTTCAGTAGGACAGTAGAATATTTAAATTGCTTTGTTTTCTATAGTTTGTCGAATGAAATGAAAGTGGATGTCGATGTGTTTGGTCCTCGAGTGGTACACATTGTTCTTTGTTAGCTCTATAGCACCACGGTTGTCACTGTGCAGAGGGACTGGTGGTTGCATTGATTTATTGGTGATTTCAGCCCATATATGTGTGAGCCAGATTGCCTCTTTGGTCGCATGTGTCAGCACGACGTACTCAGCCTCTGTTGTTGATAGAGTGACTATCGGTTGGGTTTTACTATTCCAGGACACAGCACCACCGTTTATGCGGAAAACGTAGCCAGATATAGAGTGTCAATGGGCATGTGAAGCATAGTCAGCGTCCGAGAAACCGACCAGTCCTTCTTGGCTCTGACAGATTAGTAAGCGGTGGTTCCTCGTTGCCTTGAGGTATCTGAACACTTGTTTGGCCGCTTCCCAGTGTGTACGTCCTGGATTTTGGAGAAAACATGATAGGGATGAGATGGCAAAAGAGATGTCAGGTCTAGTTGCAAGGGATAAATACATCAGAGAGCCAATGGCTTCTCTGTAGGGTATGTTTTTCATCTCCTCTATTTTGGTTGGTGTTGAAGGTGATTGGGATGTGTCGAATAGAAAACCAAGTTCTATGGGGGTAGAGATTGGTTTGACATCTTCAAGATTGAATCTTTTTAGGATGGTGTCAATGTAGGCTTGTTGTCCAAGTGAGACTGTGTGGCTTTGTCGGTCTCGTTTGATCTCGATGCCAAGCAGCCAGTTTATTTCTCCAAGGTCTGTTATCTCATACTCATCTTTTATCCCCCTCTTAAATTTTTCTATTAGTTCTTTTGGACTTCCCGCGATTGCCATGTTATCGACAGAGACAGAAACGACGATTCCACTGGCATCCTCATATTGTAGGAATAGTGCATAATCGTACTCAGACTTTTTGAAGCCAAGTCTTTTGAATGTTGTGGTGAGCCTTTTGTACCATTGTTTTCCAGACTGTTTCAAGCCATACAGGCCTTTCTTTAGTTTGCAGACTAAGCCTCTTTGATTCGCATTTAGGTGGCCTGTCGGCGGTTGCATATATATGTCTTCTGTGACATCTGCATTGAGGTAGGCTGACTTCGCAGTCAAGAGCGGCTGCATGAGCGAGCACAAGACGATTTGTCTTTAATCGTGAGATGGCAGAGTAGGTCTCTGTGTAGTCAAACCCATATATTTGGGTGCTACCATTTGCAACTAATCTTATTTTGAATTTTAAGATTTCACCATTTGGTCCTCGCTTTATCCTTGTCACATAGTGTGAGCGGATAACGTTCACGTTAGGAGGCGGCTGCACAAGGTCCCAGGTGTGTAGTTTTTCTATTTGGTTTATTTCATCTGCTATTGCAGCTAACCATTGCGTCCTATGTGGTCCGTTTAGCGCCTCGTTGATAGAGGGCGAGTCGTTTTCGGACGACTCAGCAGCTGTGTCAGCTGCTGCCATAGCGTGCAGGTGAGTTGCTGCCTTGTTTTTGTTGATGTCTGACGACCATGCGATGTTTGCGCGCCCATTTTTGTGTAGGTTGCGGTAGAAACCAGGTGGTTTCGGTTGACCACAATGTGGACGCTCAGGGATCTCGAGATTGGGATGGATGGGTGCCTCTTCGACCAGATAAGACTGGATGGGTGGATCTGGTGCTTGTTTGAGGACTACCAGTTCGTTTTGGGCTGGCATTGGTGCCAAAAACATAGGTGCGTTGTCCTTGTGCTCCTCGTTTGCTAATCCATTCGTTTGCAGGTTGTCTTGGTCCAGTTTTTCGACCACATCAAGCAGGAGTGGGTCGTTTTGCGGCAGCAGCTCGAGTCGCTCGTTCGGATTGAAAATGATGTTGTGTTTGACGCTTATGGTGTGTTTTTCTCGCCAATATATCCTATAACCCTTTGACTCATTGTCGAATCCCACCCATTTTCCTATTTTAGCGTGCGGTTCAAGTTTTCCCGCATCAATGGCTTTCACATAAGCTGTAGATCCAAACTCGTGTAGATCATTCAGGATGGGCTTGTCGCCAGTGGCCATTTCATACGGCGTTTTCCCTTTCAATGCTTTGGTAGGTGATCGATTCTTTATCCAGACTGCATGTTTCACCACTTCCCCCCATAGCATTTTAGGTAGACCTGACACTATTAGCATAGCACGTGCAAGTTCCAGTAGCGTCCGATTCAGCCTTTCAGCAGTTCCATTCTGCTGTGGGGAATCATGCACTGTGAGTTCGCGCGCTGTGCCTTGTCGTTTCAAGTGCTCATCAAACTCTATGCTGGTGTATTCACCACCCCTGTCGGATCATAGATGTTTGATTTTGGCACTGTTCTTTTGGGTGCCTAGCCACGCTTCGAACCACTGGTATAGTGTGAGGACTTCATCCTTGCGTGCTAGTAGGAATACATGGGATTCGCAGGAATAGTCATCTGTGATTGTTAATATGTATTTCTTTCCTCTTATGTCTTCAACAGAGGCAGGTCCCCATAGGTCTGAATGGAGGTGTTCTCCATATGATGTAGCACGAGTATAGCTGATTTTGGGAAATGGCTTCCTTTGGGCTTTAGCTCTGACACAAGGCTCACAAAATTCAATAGTAGTCGAAGGATCAAGATCAACTCCTTCGGCCATCCCTGATTTGATCAGATGTTCAGCGGCTTTGTGTCCTATGTGACCCATTTTTCTATGGAGTTCGTTTACATCCAGTTTCAGCTTTGCTATGTTGGCCCGGTGCGTGCCCCATTTCTCTGTTTTTGTGAGTTGATAGAGGCCTTCAGATTGCGGTATCATGGCTATGACCTTGCGTTGTGGTAGGGGCGTTTTTATGAGGCATACACCATTTTCTATGTGTATGGCATATCCTGCACTGTCAATGCGGCTGGCTGATATTAGGATCTGTGCCATGTCGGGACAGTATAGTGTTTCTCGTAGTTGCACCTGAGAGACACTTGTTCCGTTTGGTAGATTGATTGATACAGTGCCCTTGCCTTGGGCATACATTCCTTTAGTCTTAGCATGTCACCAAGATGAGTCCTGACATTGCCGTTTTCAGGACATCTGAGGTCCTGTAGCCTGTGTCGGACATCAACCTGCATCATCTCTGATTTGCCTTCGTGCATTTTGGTTATAGTAGCCCATATAGTGGCTGCCGAGCTTTTGTCCTGTATCTGGATTAATGTCTCATCGTGTATGGTTGAGTATAGCTGTTGTGTGACGAGGCACTCCTTTTGGGTATATTTGTCCACTTTAGCCTCATACTCCTCTATTTGTTTTTCAGTTATTACTGTTCCATCATCCAGTTTAGCTACACCTGCCGAGTCATACTTGTAATTTTTGACAGGTGGCTTCCGGGCAGATCCTAGTAGGAATCTAGACAGTCCTCTTGCTTCGACAGCAGTAGTGACTCTTGTCTTGTATGTGATCCAGTTCGAACCATCCTTTGCTAGTTTAGGTACTTGAAAAGTAGCACTCGAAGCATTGCTGGTGAATGACATGTCACCAGGGCTCATAACCTGATGTGATGACTAGAACTGTAAAGTAAAAGACTCTAAAGGAATGTGTAAGTATGAGTTTTAACTGCAATAATAGTGTTTACTGTACCTCAGTCTTTCTGGTAAATGACTGAGGTGTCTAAAGTAGGATGAGTGCGCTTTTCTGTATCCTAATTAGGAAACTTATGTAATCTATCAGAACGTCGGAATAGTTGAATGAAAGTGACTGCAAGAATGAAGAATCTATTGTAATGTATATAATATGCCAACACAATGCTGTCCAAACTTCTGAGACAGTTAATTACCAGTCAGATCAGCTTGATAAAGATAACGGGGAGGACAGCGATGTATTTATTGAAGAGGACGTCAACCCAGAATTCACACTGCAAGACCATGAAGACAAAGACTTCGGCTACAATCAAGACTCAGATGAGGACTCGGACACTGACAAATTGTTACTGGATCTAGATGGGACAGATATAGTAGGATACAATTATGATTAGTAAACTTGAACTACAGTTTGTAGTGTTAGCTCCTCTTTCTCAGAAGAATTGGTTTATCCGAGTTTCAAGTTACCGTTACTTATAGTCTTATTAGAAAAATTACAGTCATTCGCAGTACTGCTGGAGCAGACAGCAACTATCCCTGGCTCAGTTTGTGAATATGGGATATAATTACTAACTATTATCATGAATACACATCCTTCACCAAACCTGACAGTCTAATGTTGGATCATGAACACAGATGTTAAAGCATCACATAATTATACCTGTGCAAACCATTGAGATGACTTCGACTACAATCACCCTCACTCGTATTACTAATTACCAGTGGAATAACATTATGAGACTCGCCATATCATATAAGTGCAATGTACTATTACTCTGCTAATATCTGGTAATGCTTCATCAATACATACAAGCCACTACCGGGACACAGCATTTTGGCAAATGGTTATCAACTCCACCTGGTTATAACAGCTCCTCCCCGATTTCCTGATGTTTTTGTGTTGTTATTCTATAAATAGATAACCCAGGTGATAATATATAATTAGGTTAGTATGAATGCACATAACTCTATTCAAATATGTAACATTTTAAGATGTAATGGATTATCTGCAGGTTTTCACAGGTAATGTCAATAGGTTTGCAAAGCTCAGGTTGTACCAAAAAACCCATGGAAGACTTTATTAAAGCTTCCTAAGATAGTTAATTCCACATATTACCTAAGATCCCTCTCATAATCTTTTATGTCATTGTTTAAATATAGATAGAATTTAGAATTGTACACCTATATGTATCATCCATATGCAGGGGTGATCCCATAGTCCATCCAAAGATAGTTACTATCAGCCGTACCAATATTTATAGCACATTATGAAACTCAGTGGATATTTTTTTCTTTTAAATTTAATCTGTGTTGATGTGCATGCTTTGATAGGGACCTTCTACCTTGTAGGAATCCCAGTTATTTGGGGTTTTAGGCTCTGGTGAATAAGTAATAATGAGTGATAAAACTAAGTAAAAGGGCAGAATGCCCAAGCTACAATAGATGTCAGCTTTAAGGTAATCTCTATAGAATGTAATGCAACATATCTCAGCCACTACCCAAGAGGCTATGCAAACAGCTGAGGTATTCCTATACTAAGCCCCTTACTACTTATAGTCAGGGATGTTACTGACTAAGGTATAATGACTCCTAGGAGAACAATGGGTGACTCTATGGAGTGGTGGTTATGCTCCATAGATAATAATGACTTCTTAGCAGCTTTACCTGACTTATTTTGTCAAACAGTTGCTGAAATACATGAGTGATTCTCCATAATATATATTAATACCGTGCATATATAGAAAGGTTCTACATAGGATAGTGGAGAGCTTAAATTAACTACCTATTGGCATCATTATGTAGATGCCCACACTGATATCCTGCTCTGGACTCCAGTCTATATATTTTCTCTACATATTCTTACGTTCCTTACAGAATCTGTAGTTAGACCTGATGACACACTTCTCTCACATACAATTTCTCCTTGCTAAATATATGTCTGCATAAAACTCCTAGTTGTAATCTCTGTACTCTGTTCCAGCAGTTCAAATATCAACGAGTTCCCAAACCTTTTTACCAACCTTCTTCTAAGTTCTTCCCAGCCTTTTTCCAAAAAACTCTTACTGCTTTCCAGTTGCATCCTCTATTTTCCTCCCATTGATGCTATTAAGTAAGGGGCAAAGGTCTGCAGAATTGTCTAGTGTATGAGCTAGGCAAACTTCTAATCTTGTAGTCTGTTTTGCTACTCTGTAGTTACTTTGTAACTCCTACTTCCAACCTCCAACAACTCTATAAGTCATGGTTCTGACAATGTCTTTGTTTTGGCTCTGGTAGTACACTTGGTAAGTTTTTTTAAATTATTATTATACCAGAACTAACAGAAATTTTCTAGATCAAATATATTTTATTAAGTCCACCATTAACAATATAATGATATAGGTCTCATAGACAGCATTTTCTGCAAGGTATGTTATCTCAATCACAGTAATTTTATACTAATCACATCTTTTTCAAGGTGGGATTACTATGTGAGGTTATTAGAAATATTTCAGAAGTGTTCTCCTACATATATAACTGCTGTGTGTAGTAAGGTTAAAGAATATCTTGTTATTGAATCTAGCTGTTTTTTCTTTCTTTTCTAAACAATGGAGTATAGGTGTTACAGCTTTATATACTATCAGAGAAGATGGAGTTCTATGTAGACAAATATCTAGCAAGGAATAAAATAATTATATATATTAAAGCATATTATGTGGTCTAAATCAGAGTCTATGTGAACAATAAAGAAACATTTAAAGGAACATATAGCAGATTGGGGTCCAGGGAAACATATTGGAGTAGAGGTCTAGAGTATTATATAGAAGCAAGCTACAACAAGAGCATGCTGAATGGCAGAACATGAGAAACATCAACAAAACAAGTATAGTGTTATTCTTTAACTCAATAAAAATATTCCAAAAATGGCATATTTATAATTTATCTAAAATAATAGAGAGGCTCTTCTATATATGGGTAAAAAGTGTGACACTATCTATGACTTTATTCTTATTTTCCCGGTATCAAAGTATTCAAATATTCTGGGAAAAGGAGTGATCTGGTAGTTCAATTCTACTTCTTAAAGCATCTGGTGTCAAAACTAGACCATACATTTAATTTGTCTATATACTCTGACTTCATATATATAGGCCTTTGGTTCTTTTGTATTGAGTGCAATGATACTGTTCTTGATAAAGTAACTATAGGAGTCAGATTTATATTTCTGGGATTGCCTTTTATCGCTTTTGCACGTACTAAAAAAGTATCTTAACCTAACTATTCACCCCAAACAACTTTTATAAAGTAGCCAATTTGTGTCTCTCCTATTAAGGTTTAAAATAGGAAAAAAAACACCTTTTTACTAAGGGGCATATTAGCAGTTTTTGCTGAGCTCCTTACGCAATTAAAGTTGATGTAGAAAGAGGTGAAAGGCAGCATGGGGTATAAACTTTGTCGTTGGAATGAAGTACATGCATTGATGAAAAAGTATGGAACACCAGCCCTGTTCATTACAATCAACCCTAATGACATCAGCCATCCTTTGCTTGGTTTTTTTGGAAACATAGTGCCTGATGATTGGAAAGCCATGACATCATATGAAAGGTCGGCATTTGTCGCCAGTAACCCTGGACCTGCCACTAGATTTTGTGATTCGATGCTGTGTGGTTTTATCAATATAATCCTTGAACATGGAAAGTCAGAGGCTGGATTGTTTGGTCACAGTGAAGTGTACTATGGTATGGTAGAGGCTCAAGGTTGTGGTACCCTTCATTGTCACATGCTGATCTGGTTAAAAGGCAATCCCAACCTGCAAAAATTACGTGATAAAATAAAAGACGAGACCTACAAGCAACAAATCATTGCATGGTTAGAGTTTATTGTCTCTTGTGAACTGCCTGGGATGGAAAAGGTCTTACACAAACCAAATGGAACAATATTGTCTAAACCACTGCGTCCAACAGGTACCGTAGACCCATGCCTTGAAGAAGGCAAAACTTTAGAAGATGACGTCCACAATGAGCTAGATTTTCAACGGGATTTCCAGGAAGTTGTTAAAGAGTTAGCTGTTCTTTGCAATTGGCACGAGCGTACTGACACATGCTGGAAACACCTAAAAGCAGGAGATTCTCGAGACAATGCACATTGTAGAATAAGGATCAATAGAATGACTAGATCATTTACAGAAATTGACCTTGTGTTGCAATTGATCCTGCTGAGATGTTTGCATCCTCGTGTAAACAACTTTAGTGATCTAGTGTTGTTCTTGATGAGATGCAACATGGATATTAAATATATTGGTTCTGGTCAGGCTGCCAAAGCACTTGTGTATTATGTGACTGATTGCATCACAGAAAGTTCTCTACCTGTGCATGTGGGGTTAGACGCATTGAAATATGCTATCAAACAAAACAATTTAAAATACATGGGCGTGTAATCCACTAGCTCCGATAAAAATAAGAGTTTATTCATGAAGAGTATGAATGCTATCATGGTTTGTCAAGAATTGTTCCACCAACAAGTAATGAGTTACCTGGTGGGGGGAGGAGATTGTTATTCAAGTCATGCATTCAAACTTTTGCGCTGGTATGAGTTTGACCGTTATGTGAGAAAGGAACTTCATGAAGAAACTCCAGACATTACTTCTGGTAACAACAATTTTCAAAATGAGGATTACCACGCCATTGATGAAACTGACACAGTTGATAATTCTGTGAGGCGTGATCAGATAAAAGATTTACAGGGAGAGCAGGCTTTCCTGTCAGTAGAAACCAACAAAGTGACAGTATCCAGTGAACTTACGGACTATCGTTGTAGGAGTCATGAACAACCATGTGATTTATTGTGCTTGTGGGACCACACTGGACTTGTCCAAAAAACCCTTCACGCTCGTGAAGATATGCGCCTCCAGAGTTTACAGGAGAATGATTTTATAAGACAGACTCATTCACGCAGCAGACAGCGGCATGGAAGGAAAGCGCTTCCGCAAGGTAAGTTAGATATAGATCATCCTCAACATGGGACACACCTTATGAGAATTTGAGATGAACCTCTGGTCCCAGTTTTAATTGGGACAGCAATACCTAGACAGGATAAAATGCAAAATGAATGCAATGCTTATATTATTCAAACATCGGAGAAAACCATCGGACCTGAAAGCTGAACATCAGACATGGGAGGAAGTATTCACATCATATCAATTCAAACCTGAATAGCAAATTGTCATAGCAAATATGAATGTCAAAAATGAGTGTAAAGATGCCTGCAATGCAAGTGAGTGTGATCGTCAACAAGGTAAACAGATTGATCCTTCACTAGTGGGCATTAATTACGTGCGACCTCCGGTCAATATAGATTCCTTGCGTATCTCATTGTTGGATGTCAAGGTGGACAATTTAAACGGATTCTACACTGAAGTGCAGACCGCCACTATGGCCCATAATACCCATGACAGTGTTCACGGTGTCCCTTGAGTGCTCAGAAATGCACACAATGCTCTAAACATGGTGGAACGGGCAGGTTTCCTGGAAGTAAATGATACATTATTTCATACAACTTCAGGAGATTTCAGTGTACCTTCTGTTAGCAATAATCTAGATTGTGCACAGATACAAAAGCAGGCTGACTGGATGGCAAAAAAGAAAAAAAGAAAAAAAAACCACTTAATAAAGAACCAGACGTATACCCAGTAGAACCCACCTTACAGCATTGTCACAAATGACAACGGCTCAATCCTTCCACACTACTGATGGAATTGGCTGATGACAATTCTCTCTATTAGAACTATGCTGAAAGTGATCTTAGACAATATCCCGACAGGTTACTTAATTCCGTTGTAAGTGATATGGGCTTGAATGACAACAAAGAACAAGAACATGCATCTCGCATAGTTGGTAAACATGTATTACACAGTAAACCTGATCAATTGTTGCTCTACATTGCGGGTATAGGGGGGACTGGCAAGAGTCACATTATCATGTCCATTGTTGAACTGTTCAACCGTTGTGAATTGTCAAATAAAATCTTACTGAGTGCGCCTACAGGCTGTGCCGCAGTGTTAATTGGTGGGTACACCACTCATGCTTTGACATTTTTACCTAGGTCAAAAAACAAACCGAATCAAAGCAAGCTGGAAAATAATATCTTGCCGCATGTTATTAGCAAAGAGTCATGACAGTCCCAATCGTGATAAACCTTTTGGTGGGATCAACGTGATTTTCACGGGCAACTTTGGTCAGTTGAAGCCTGTGAAAGATAGTGCTTTGTTCAGCCACAAGTTGCTGCATAACCTGTCACCAAACACAACACAGCACAAACTTGGTCAAAGTGCTCTCCATGATGCTTTCTTGTGGAGACAAGTGACAGACATTGTCAAACTTAAAAAAGATTATGGGCAAAATCGGACCCTGCATTTGTGAACCTGTTACAGAGGATTTGGGAAGGACGTACTTGGGATGGTTTGCAACCTATGACAATTGAACAAACAGGAAACAGTGTAAACTGCTCCATATCAGACTTCACTGTACTTGAACAGAGGATCATGCCTTGTCTTGTGGCTCACAAACCTGAAGAAGTTAAACAATCTAGACACACACCCGTTGTTGTTGCTGAAAAGATTGTGAGAGATGTAATCAATTATGCAAAATGTAAAACTTACGCTGCTTCTACTGCTCAACATTTAGGCCTTTTTCACTCCAGTGATGTAATGCATAAAGAGCCACTTGATGATGATCTTGGCAAAATAGCTTGGAAGACTATACCATCCAACGTATCAAATGACAGCTTGGGTATACTTCCCATGGTTGTTGGTATGCCTGTGATGATAACTGAAAATGCTGCTATACAATGTAAATTGGTTAATGGCGCAGAAGGGATGGTGAGCAATATAAAATATTCAGAAGATGAGAGAGGTTGAAGATTTGCAGATTTGCAGATTGCGCATATGTTAATGTACCTGGTTGTGGATTACAGGCTCCATTCCTACCTTTTGAAATGGTACCCATATTGCCAACAAAGGCGAGGTTCACCTATGTAAATAACATTAGAATCAAGTTTCTGATAGTACAACAGCAGTTACCTCTTTTACCCGCATATGCTTTTACAGATTACAAGGTACAAGGCAGAACCTTGCATGAAGTTATTGTAGACCTTGCAAGATGTTTCAGCCTTCAAAGTGCCTGTGTTATGCTGTCCCATGTGAAGGAGTTGGCAGACGTAATAATTCTGCAGGTATTTCCCAAGTCTAAGGTAACTGGACAACTTGCTCACAATTTCCGGTCCAAATTTCAGCGGTTATCTGATCTGGATGCAAAAATGCTAATAGACTTTGAAAGTTGTCATCAACCCACACAGTATTGATCAATTGACATGTTATCAAACTGTGTTTGCTCTACATCTTACATTTGGAGCCACTACTCTATCACGGTCTACTGAAAAATGGACCCCGCTCCTTTCATGGTGACAAAAGGTTTTAAAAGCTCATATCCTTCTTTGCACTTTGTGCCCCCCAAGTACCAAATGACAGCCAAGCTGTGATCATAGTACCTCCTTACTACCTCCATTAGCGGTCCCATTTGCGATCATATGTCCAGTTGGAATTTGGCAAACAAACAAATATGGTCAAATGTGTGGTGAATAGTATGTGGGCAGACATAATCAACCTGACACCAGTGCATTTTGTATTCATTGTCCCATCCGGATGTGTTCTCCTGGATATTGTATCTGTGAGAGGCATACTTTGCTAAGCTTGGATTTTCCAACAGATCAGAAAAGTATTCGTCCATATGATTCACATTCACAATGGCTCGGTGCTGGTTGGTGGTTGTGGGATATGCAGAAAAAAAGCCATTGCCTGATATATAGTTCATTGCCGCTGTCAGATGAAAGTGAATGATGGGTGCAATGCTGGCTGATCCATTGGCGACCACAACATTGATGCACCTGTCTCCATTGCAGAGAGTAAACACCTCAGCAATCCCTGTTTCCTTTTTCTTTTCTTCCACATGTGTTCCTTCTCTACCATAACCCATGTATCCCTCTTTGTAGTCTAGATGCCTCAACACTTTATTTTTGCACTCTAATGGCACATATATATTCATATCTCCTGCCTGCCATCCACCCAACTCACAATAATGCAATGCAACAGATCCTAAAACCATGCCACAAAATTGGCGCAACATGCAAAAGAATTCAGGTATATGAATGATGAACGGACTGACGGTGTCATGGAGTCGGTGGATCAGATAACATTGGACGGCCATGTAGTTCTCGCAACTGGTTGTTCCAAAAAAAAACCGAGTCGGGGACTGACATTTTATTGAACATCAACCCCACAATTTTGACAGAGCATGGAGACATCAAAAAACCAGAGGGATCTTTGTTAACAAACAAAGACATTGCAGGTGGTGTTTTGATTTTCCAGATGATGGTTTTGTCTGCTTTATCATGTGTCTTTTGCCACTTTTAAGAATCAGCCTATATTATTGAAAATTCACTTGTACCTTCACAACACCTTATCAGCTGCTTTTTTTTGTCCCCCCTCTTAATCATTTGCCACAATGCATTTAAAATCTCCCTTGCTCTCTTTGTCATCCCAAAAAAATGCATCTTATTGCCATGTCCTATTGATGATGGGGAGTGGTTACCCCTTTGGCTGCAATGAGTTGGTTGTGCTAGACAACAGGAGGACTCGCTGAGTCCTTCCCCATGTATTGCTCTTGTATATATACTAAAATACATGAGGTACTGTACAGTTATAAATAAAATTCAAAGTCCGATGTCTAGCATGTGACCAGTCACATGATGAGTCTAGACACTGGTCAGGTGATATGTCACATGACTGGTCATGTGACTATGAAAAGTCGAAAATGTAAAGTAAAGTAAATGGTCACATGACTGGTCATGTGACTTGGAAAATAAAAGTAGAAGTACAAAAGTGAAGCGTAAGTAGGTGCTGGTATGTTAATTGTAACAATATACTTTTCTTTGGCCTACGCACTGCTCATCTTTCCTACAGATAACACTGGACTTTTCATATACGAACAATGACCTCACAACATTGCTGAAGACATTACTCACACCATCAATCTTTCCTTAAGCTCCTGGAAAATTGTACCAGCCACGTTCAAGGACATCAGTGAATGGGCCTGTGTTCAACAAAACCCTTGTTCATCAGACCGAACCCACAGTCACTTCTCTTGTACAAGACCATTAACCTCGATCCTACAACATTATATCCCATCACAGTTCGTCTGCAAGGATTTTTAGGCAGACATCAACTGTCTCCTCTAGAAATGTGGAACAGGTAAGTCTTTAGCATGATATCATTTCCGTACTTATTTTCAGTGTTTCCCTTTCACAGTGCATGTACCCGTGCTGCAGGTGCCATACCAACTTTATGTGTCACTTCTGGAGGCCACAGTGGCTTATGGGAACATACCCTACAAACAATCAGTAACATGTAGTGATTCATACACATCTCCCTTGGTAATTGTGAGGGAGAACACCCCTATATTGACCTGGAGGGGGAGCTTGTTATGCAACATCATGTTTTTACAAAGGCATCCATTAACCCCTTCCTTATTCATAGCAAAATATGACGTTCATTTTTAGGTGTTACCGTCAAATGTACACATCCAAAGTGTTTTACATCCTTCTGACAACCCTTTCAATTGGGCTCGTGCTGTCAACAACACTTGGCGCGTGACTGAGAAACTTCAGATGGGAAGAACACAGCAAAATGGAGATGTTCAACCATGTTCCCAAGCAGTGTTCTCTCATAGCGACTTCATTGAGATTAGAGCATTGTTCGACATCAGTGTCAAGACTTCTTGCATAGGTGAAAGGGAGGTCCGTGCACATCTCAATGTCAAACATGTCTGCCAGCTAATGTCTGCCACTGATGCTCATGAAGTGAGTCATTGTCCCTGTTCAATTTTTTTGTCAAATACTCAATCCTCCTACAGCTTGGTGTCATAACTCCCACAAACTGCACAGTCATCCCCAAATCACCCACTCAACCTTCACCTGCCATCACAAAGGTGGGTCTCATTTTTGCTAATTCAGCTTCTCCCTCGACTGCAAAAACATGCGGTGAAGGGACTGAGTCTGTTGTCTGTGACTGACAATTTATCTTACTATACAATTCAACTCTTTTTATAAATACTGTAAACTTTCTACAATGTTCTCAATTTCTTCACCGTTCACTGTTAAGACAAAGAACAACTCTTTGAGCAATACAATTGTCTTTTCTTACTTGTGTTGCCAATAAGTCTTCCTGCCTCCTATGCTTTCCAATTCACTTATTTCATATTCAGGCCTGTTTTGACACTGACGCTCCATAACACCCCTGTCATGGGTTTTTTTCTGATCACTCTTTCAGACTTCCCTTTTTTTCATTTTTTTCTTCTTGATGAGATGACAACACACTGAACCTTCCACTCCTTTGGTTCGGTCGCAACAATTGGCCTCAAATCAACTGTTCTTCTTGTTCCTCAACTACTATCTTCCCCCTTCTCGGAGTACCATGCCTGCCTCTAAATGTACCACTACTCCTCCAAAAGTTAATGTAAAAAAGGCGAGACTGACAAAAGGTCCTGGGGAAGGGAGGTAAAGGGTTTTCACCCTCCATGATCTTTGATTATACCTTGCAGTAGCGACACCTTGTCAGAAGTGTCAGAATTTTCTGAACATGTTTTCAATTTGGATGTCTTACACTCTAAAACGCACAATCACTCCGACAACGGCAACATTGCTCCAGAAACTGATTCTTGCTTGTTGTAAGCAATTCACAATACTCTTTGAACACAACTACTTATTCCTTCGTCAGCCTGGAGACTGAAAGTAAGGAACTTACGCCTACTGTTGCATCCATCCGTGATAAGAAGCTTGTTGAGAGTAAAGACATTCCCTCTAAAAAGGTTGACAATCACTTAATGTACGTCTCACCCTCTTCTTGGAAAGTTCCTACTGATATTTTCTCAGCACTGAGGATGCCAAACCACGCAATGCAACAGAGGAATTGATAGTGAATGTTGCTATTGATCCAGATATGGTCACAACCCTTGAGGATGCTCTCATTTGGTATGATCTGTTTTTCACTTGTCAACGCAAACTGCTTTTTCAAAATATCTTACAGCCGCATTCAACTCTTCCTCAATTATGCCAACAAAGAAACCCATACTTACAGCATTGACACTTTGCCAGACATTGATGCCTGGGGTCTCGAAAGATGTAACAAAGATTGGACCTATTACCTTTGCGAAAAAAGAACCAATAACCCATTCACAATTTGGGTTGCAGGTAACAAAACTAAGTGAAACTCAGCCGCTGCCCGAGAGGCTATAGAAATGACTGAGGTATTCCTATACTAAACCCCCTACTACTTATAGTCGGAGGTGCTACTCGCTACAGTATAATGACTCCTAGGAGAACAATGGTTACTCCATGGAGTGGTGGCTATGCTCCATGGAGAACAATGGCTGCTTCGGCAGAGACCGGGTTTATCCAGTTTTGTCACTCCCACTCGAGTGCAACCGTGGTCCCATAGCTTTAGAGAATTTCCAGTGTTTTTCATGAGTGAGTGGTTTAGTGAGAATGTCTGCAACCATATCTCCTGTAGGAACATATCTGATTACTGCCTCTCCATTTGATACTAAGTCATCTCAGATAAAATGATATTTCCGTTGAATGTGTTTTGTGCGAGCACGGAACTGCAGATCTCGTGTAAGAATGATAGCTGCTTGATTGTCACAGTGCAATGTTGTAGGTCCATTTTGAGCATGTCCAATTTCTTCAAAAAATGTCCAAAGCCATGCAAGGTGTTGTCCAGCATTGCTCAATCCAATGTACTCTGACTTTGTGGAGGATAAAGCTACCATGCTTTGTCTTTTGCTTGTCCAGGAGATTGCTCCTCGGATGGTGATAAAAACAAACCCTGATGTTGATTGAGACGTGTCTGGGTCTCCAGACCAATCTGCATCTGAATATCCATAGGAATCCATGTCCATGGAGACATCTGTGCCATCATATTGTAGTTCCATGTCCCTGGTTGCTTTCAGATATCGGAGGACACATTTTGCAGCTTCCCAGTGATGGCTCCTTGGAGCTGAGCTATGCCTGCTTAGTATTCCAACGACATAGGCAATGTCTGGGCGGGTTCCGAGCATGGCATACATGAGGGAGCCTACAATTGAGAGGTATGACACTTGACGCCCTTCAATATGCATCTTGTGTTGCACAATATCTTCCCCTGGAGCATTTGCAAGGAGTTTTGATCCATGGGCCATTGGTGTCCATACTGGTTTGCAGTTCTTCATTCCAGTACGCTCCAGGACTGTGTCAATGTATTGGTGTTGCAATAGGGATATTGTTTTGTTTGAACGATCACGTTGGATTTCTATTCCAAGGATGTATTTTGCTTCTCCAAGGTCCCGCATTTTGAATATGGATTCGAGTTTGGCTTTTGTGATATCCATGAATTTCCGGGATGAAGCTCCTAGGAGGAGGTCATCTACATAGACAACAGCAAAGCATATTTGTTTGTTGTCCCGGAATACATAGAGACATGTTTATGCATTTAGTCTTGTGAAACCGAGCTCCTGGAGCTTGGGATCAAAAGTTTTGTTCCATGTACGACCAGCTTGTTTTAACCCGTAGATGGATTTCTTCAATCTCCAGCAGTATCCAGGTTGGATAGGAACACCCCCTGGAGGAAGCATGTACAGTTCTTCTTCAAGTTCTCCATTGAGATAAGCTGTGGATACGTCCATTTGATCAAGTTCTAGGTTGTACTTTGCTGCCAGGGCTAGAATAATTCGGATTGACTCTAAGTTTGCAACCGGAGCAAAAACCTCCTGGTAATCAATCCCCTCCCTTTGAGTAAAACCTCGTGCAACAATCCGGAGTTTGTATCTCTCAATGTTTCCATTTTGATCAAACTTGATCCAGACACACAGGTTTTGATGTGATGGGTTTTACTCCCTTCGGAAGTGGAACAGTGTCATATACTGCA